GTACCCACTCATCTCTGGCCAAGCAGAGCAAGAACGCGTTGATGTCGAGTATAAGCCCCGGTGAAGAACAAACGGGTTCGAAGGTCAAGAAAAGCTGGAAGTCTTTGTACGATGAGCGCATGGCGTCACTACGAACTGAAGGTCTGTCTTCCAGTTATGACCATCCGGAGATAACCCATCCGGATGTGAACTTCACGCCGTGCCCAAGGAACGACATGAGCAGGAAGGCGTCGTCCGCCTCGCCGACCAGGCCGATGTCAGATGGGATAACTACGGGAGCGTCCTCAACGTTCGACAGGTTGATTATGTCGATGGGCAAGCAAAAGGGCGGCGCGTCATCAGGTACCATACTGCAACCGCAGTTGACCTCATCTTCTCTGGAGCTAAACCCGACATTGGGGGCAGCTGGCGATATAAGTGACATGTTTGCTGGCGTAATGACTGGTCTGGATGAACTGAGACGGGACATGACTAAAAGAATAGATCAAGTTGACGAGAGAGCTCACCAGGGTCGAGAGAATTTGCGAGATGAACTGACGCACGTGAAGTCGCAGCAGGCAAGAGTCGATCAGGCTCAAATGATTCGCAACACCGATCAATGCCTGGCGGAGAGCTTGGCACAGGCAAACAAGGAGTCAGAGGAAAGAGAGGCTAGGATGAGAAGAGAGATCGAGCGATTGTTGAACGATCATGACAATACCTATGCCCATACGATGACTAGCCTGGAAAAAAGGTTAGATGCCAAATCTGACCTGATGATGCGGAAGCTTGACGAAATCTTAAACGGAAGTAGTCGGGAGGGAGCGTTCCAACCCAAGGGAGCGCTCACGCCAGGCAAATGATGGAGATGGAGCAGGCAACTATGCTGGGGCCCAGCAAAATTCGAGAGCGAATTACGAATCTAGGAATAGGCAGCGGCCCAGGGCAGCCCCATCGAGTCCAGGTTGAGAACCCGGTCGCGCCGGAGACGGATGCCACCCCGGAGACAAGATTGCCTAATGTGCCACAAGTAAGATCGGTCTCAGATCTGACTACGGTCTCACAGGACACGACGATGTATGCTTCGATGTTTGAGCCTCTGAACTGATCTCGTCGAGACATTCATCACCAAGCTCTCGAAGTCAACCGAGAGAGGAGAGAGGTCAAGAAGGACACCGGAAAAGCCGATATCATACAAAGACGAGTCAGACGGCTGCATTGATACTTGGATAGAGGTGATGAAGTTTTGTAAATTTTTGTTGGAAAGCCCTTATACCCCTACCAAATGGTAATAACGATTGAATAAGGCAATTTTACGCTACTTTGGCAAAAAGAGTGCGCTGAGGGAACCCAGAGAAAGATAGTCGAGTCAAAACCAGGCTAATTATAAGACCCATCACAAGTAAGGGAGAATTGTCAAATAAGCAGCTAAGCTTCAATCCGGAAGGGTCTGGGACCGGTATATACCCTTCCTAGTTAGTTTATTTAGCATAACAGTCTCGGAGACCGTATCAGGAAGAGTCTTTTCAAACAACTCGCAAAAGGCTATTTTTGCCAGTCCGGAGGGGTTCCAATTCGGAGAGGTCTTATTTTGCAATCCGGAAGGGTCCTATATTTGCGAATCCGGAAGGGTCCCAATTTTGCTTTCCCGAAGGGTCCTACTTTTGCAAATCCGGAAGGGTGCTATTTTACCAATCCGGAAGGGTCCTATTTTCCCAATCGGAGGGGTCCCGATTCGAGGGGTCCCAATTTTACCAATCCGGAAGGGTCCTGTTTTTGCCAATCTGGAAGGGCCTTATTTTGCCAATCCGGAAGGGTCCTAATTTTGCCAGTCCCGAAGGGTCCTGTTTTGCTAACCTCATTTTCCGTCGAAATGTACTTCCAGGCGAATGTTACATATGAGTTTTTATGGCGCTCTTGGGTGTTATTTTTTTTGACATCATGACTGGTAGAACCGTGAGCGAGCACTCCGCGCCGGGGCAGATGCTCTAAATGAGGCCCTTTGCACAGGCGCGGAAAGGTAGTTCGGAACGCGGAAGCCTTCCGTGTTCCCGGATTTAGTTTTTTAACCTATTTAAGACCGAAAATTCAGGTATCGTGAAGGCGGGGTGGGGGGGATCGTTTCCCTGAGCGGTATATGACCAAAACTATTCAAAGATATATAAGAAACCAAAGAAAAAGTAGCATAATACCTAAAAAAAAACCAAAAACATAAAAAATAACAGAAAAAAAAACAAAAAAAATAAAATCTGTGTAAAACATCCTCCAGACGAGATGTGATCCCGACCCTCCCGTTTGTTGTTGTTAGATATAAGGTTGTTAGAGGCTTTAATATCAAACAGGATCGTTACGATCAAAATTGTGCCCGTTTTCTAATGCTTGTACTGTAGGGTTGTTTGAGTATTTAAGCACGTTAATGCTAATTTGCGCTCAAAAAGGAAGGGTCTTGGGGAAGAGAGCGGAAGACTGATCCGGCAAGCAGTGCAAGGAGGCAGCAGGAAGTGTCTCAAGGACAACAACAAAAAACTGTTGGGTAACGTTAACAAGTTTTGTATCCCTTTTGGTACAGAAATTAAGATAACAATCTGGAGGGCTCGACAGTGACTGCACTGTAGTGACCTCCACCGAGTTGCGAATTTCCGAGTTAAGCACCTCGATTCGGTATTGAACAAAACCAGAGGGGTATAATATCATTAGTATTATTATTGTATACTGCGTGTTTTAGTACTCGTATATCGTTTTTCAATAAAAAACATAACAAACGGACCGGTTTTTAGGGTCAAAATAGTGATATTTTGATCACCCCAAAAATCGCGATTTTTGAGAAATCGATATTTTTGAAATAGAAAAAGCGCCAAATTAGTGTAATTACATTGTAACGGCACCAACATAACTAGTGGAACCGGCTAAATTTAGTTCAGACGTGTTTGGAATTAATAAGGTGTCGAAATCCGAAATATTCTGATTTTCAAAAAACGAAACGCTACGAAATGAAAATTTTTGTTCAAAAATTTTGAGATAGGGCAAAAAAAATTCTTGTTCAGACAACATACACTAGTGAATCGACAGGTTCTGAAACCCGTTACCAATAACCTTCCTGGCTCGTGAAATCGACCTTAACGTGTTTGATTTAGTGGCTTCATCAATCCGGAGGGTCCAAATAGCATAGTTTTTGACAAGTTTTTTCAACTGGAACGTTTTAGATTTTT